CCCAGACTAACCACAAGGACACCCGTCACTTATGGCAAGGTTTACACGACATAATAGGCTACAAAGCAAAGTCGACCAGAATCGCGGGCAACAATACATCCCTATCTAGTGAGTTCAATGCATTCTACACTTGCTTTGAACAGAAGATCAGTGAAACGATTTCGCCTGTCCCAACAAGTGACAGGCCCAGATGGAGTCTGTGGTCATGCATTCAGATCCTTTGCAGACCAGCTGGCAGGAATATATGCAGATATAACTAACCTCTCCTTACTACAATCTGAAGTCCCCACCTGCTTCAAGAAGACCATCATCATCCCAGTGCCAAATTAAAATCATGCAGCGTGCCTCAATGACTGCCACCCTGTGGCTCTGACCTCCATAATTATGAAGTGCTTCGAGAGATTAGTCATGGCTCACATCAACTGCAGACTATCAAATTGCCTTGATCCTTTGCAGTCCGCCTATCGGCACAACAGGTCTGCAGCAGATGCCATCTCCCTGGCCCTACACTCATCCCTGCAACATGTGGATAACAAGGTTACCTACATCAGGCTCCTATTTATTGACTACAGCTCTGCCTTCAACATTATACTTCCAAACAAACTCATTTCTAAACTCTAAGCTTAGATCTCAGCTCCCTCCTCTGTAACTGGATCCTTGACATCCTGTCCCGTAGACAGCATCAGTAAGAATAGGCAACAACGCCTCCTTCATCATAATCCTTAACACTGTTGCCCCACAAAGCTGGGTACTCAGCCCCCTACTGTATTCCTTATACATTCACAACAGTTGGGCCAAATTCCGCCCCAACTCCATTTACACATTTGCTGACGACATCACTGTTGTAGGTCAGACCTCAAACAGTGACGGTACTGAATACTGGAGAGAGATTTGGGTGCTTAGCAGTCTGGTGTAAAGACAACAATCTCTCCATCAATGTCAGCAAAATGAAGGACCTGGTCATTGACTTCAGGAAGTGGAAGGGAGGGCACGTCCCTGTCTGCATCAGTGGTGCTGAAGTGGAGATGGTCGAGAGCGTCAAGTTCCTGGGAGTGATGATTATCGACAATCTGTCCTGGTGCACCCACATCAACGTGACAGTCAAGAAAGCACAACAATGTCTCTACTTTGGAAACAAAAACAAAAATTGCTGGAAAAGCTCAGCAGGTCTCAGCATTACGGACATGCTGAGGAAGTAGAGACGTTAAATAAAAACCAGAAAAACTGCGGATGCTGTAAATCAGAAACAAAAACAGAAATTGCTGAAAAAGCTCAGCAGGTCTGAGGAAGGGTCACTCAACCTGAAACGTTAACACTGATTTCTGTCCACAGATGCTGGCAGACCTGCTGAGCTTTTCCAGCAATTTCTGTTTTTGTTTCTGATTTACATCATCTGCAGTTCTTCTGGTTTTTATTTAATGTCTACTTGCTCAAGAGGATAAGGAAATTTGGCATGTCCGTAATGGCTCTTACCAATTTTTATTAATGCACCATAAAAAGCATCCTATTTGGATGCATCACAGCATATTATGGCAACTGCTCACCACAAGAAATTACAGAGTCATGAACACAGCCCAGTCCATCACGCAAACAAGCCTTCCATCCATTGACTCCATCTATACTTCCCGCTGCCTCAGGAAAACAACCAACATAATCAAAGACCTCTCCCACCCGGTTATACTCTCTTCCACCTTCTTCTGTTGGGCAGAAGATATAAAAGTTTGAATACACATACATTCAAGAACAGCTTCTTCCCCTCTCAAATGTTAATGTTGATCTCTGTCTCTGCACCTTCTCTGCAGCTGTAACACTGTAGTCTGCACTCTGTTCTGCTACCTTAATGTACTTTGTCTGGTATGATCTTCCTGTATAGCACGCAAAACAACACTTCCCATTGTATCTCGTTATGTGACAACAATAAATCAAACTCAAATGGCCTATTTCTGTATGATATATGACTATGATTTCTTAAGACAGCAACCATGTTCTTTTCAGTGAACTTACTGTGTTCGATGCATAATTTCCAGTGCATTCTTGGTTCATATTAGGGTCAAAGTGAATTCTAAAGTGCAATGAAAGCAAGGAGTTATTAGCTAGAGTGATCTTCAAGTCACATGGGAAAACTGTTTCAATAAACACTGAAATAGTGGTCGTCAATTTCATAAAGTTAATTATTATCAGGTTGGTGCTTATAATATCAAGTAATAATTAGCAGTATCTTCTCACTACTTAGATAATTAAATATTCAGTAGCTAGACTACTGCAAGATTAATGTACAAATATTTTAGCTTTGCATCTTACAGCAGGTGTGTGCTGGCAGTGGTTTCACAGATGTATTTAATTTGACAAGTGGTTAGCGTGTTAAATCATATAAATGGTGTTGTGCCCTGAATGTAACTTGAACACTTAATTCCACTAGTTATTCCTTAGATAGGCTTATACAAAGAAAATTGAGCAGGCAATTAGCATTTGCCAAATGGAGAATAATCTTCCTTGTAATTATCTAAGAAAATTGTTACAAAAATGACAACGCGAAAGACTAATGTTCCATGTTGCTTATTGAATGGATAGACCTCAAATAGTTCCAGTTTGATGAAATTTTCCATCATGATTTGATGTACAGCACTTTTTAAAATGTTCTTTGTTCTATAAACAAGAGAATGTGGGAGGACATCTTCTGTACATTTGTAGGTCCCATCCTTTTACTCAGCTGGGTGCAAAAGACCCCAGAGCACAATTCAAAACTGTTTATCCAATGTTTCATGGCAAATTTCCAAGGTTTGTTTGATAAGTTCCAAACCCCAACCTCTACTACTTAGAATGAAATGGACAGCAAATGCATGGGAACAGCACCCCTGCCACTCCACCTCCAAACCACACACTACCCTCACTTGGAATTATATCACCATTCCTTCAGTGTTGCTGGGTCAAAACCTGGAATTTCTGAATTAACAATACTATGGGTGTACCTGCATCACATGAACTGCCACAGTTCAAAAGGATTGCTGAACACTCATTTATGGATGAGTAACTAATGCTGCCCTAGCCGGAAATACTCATGTCAATAAAAGCAGATCAAAAAGTGGCTTCACCACTAGCACTAGAAACAGATAGTCCCTTACCTCAGTGCTATTTCTGGGGTTTTGCTTTGTGAAACTTGGTTGTGGTGTCTGATTACAATAGTTGTGGCAACACTTAAGAAAAGTCATTGATTTTGAGGCTTTGGAACATCATAACAAATCCAATATATTAGTGACTGTACCTTTTTTATGGTACCTAATGTTTGAAATATTGAAGTTGATTTCAATGAACTAAGTGATGCTCGCTCTTGGTAAATCTTAAAATGCCATATCTTAAGATATTTTCCTACATCATTTACATTTCATCTGCAGCAAGTTGTTTGTTTGAAAAGAATGCATTTAAGGAAAATATAAGAATTGGTTTGAACTTAATTCAGAACTACTTTCTTTGTAAGAGTCTATGTCAGGTTTGCAATCCACACTAAAGAGTGTTAATATAATTGACAGTGTTACCTGGAAAGCTGACATGGAAGTGAATGTTCTTTGATGTAAGATTAAGGATATGTTACTGATAAATAGTACACAGAGCTTCATTGTATGCCATCCTGACCTGTGAGTTATTAATGCTGAGTGCAAGGTAAAAGTGATCAAGTAAAATGGCAGGAGGATTGCCATTCTAAAGGACAATAGTGAACCACCTGGCTCTCTACAACAATCTGACAGCTTCATTGTCACTTTCTGGCATGTATAAGAGACCCTTGCTTGATAATAAGATAACACTTCATCCCATGAGCTTAAAATAATAAAATGTGTTTTGTGCATACATAAAGCTCTAAGTGGTTGTGACAGGCCTAACAACTCTCAGTTACAATATGACTGAATGCAGCACAGAGCAAACTCCAAATGTCAAAAGTTCTTGTTAGCCCCAAAAAAAATTCACAAATGTTTAAATCATTGTGAACAATAATAATTGCACTCAGTTAACATCCATCATCTAAAGTAGTTTGTTATGGGTCTTGAACTCTTGCAGGACAAAAATAGTGCATGTGTAGCTTGTTTTCTTGCACAACTGCATGGACATTGAAAAGAATAGCTTTTCCCATGTTCCACATTACAGGTATTTCTCCTAAACCACAATAGTGGCATTCTTGTGCAACTTTGTGCTATGGGAAATTGCCATTGGAAATCGCATTATAGAGAAATCACTATACTGTACAGGAGAAAGTTCATGTTATCCAAACAGCATCCACTATTCACCAGTCATGTTACAGCCAGTTCGTGTTAACGAAACGTGTGTTTTTGCAGAAATACCTGTACAATCTATTTGTAAGTCTAACATTTCAATATCCAATTATATTCCCTGAATGTATGACTCAAATTTGTATTCTAAACTTTAAATAATTATATATTCCTTCCTGGTGTTACCTAGATACAGTATACAGATACGAAATAATAAATCTTTAGATCATTTGCTGCAACTCCATTGTTTATAGTTCATTGTAAGGATGTGGGTTTCATGTGTTTATTACACATGCCCAGTTGTCCTGGCTTGATGCAACTGCACAATTTCTTAGAACAAGGCGCACAAGGCTATGGACCAAGTTCTGGAAAATGGCATTGGAAGAGTTATGTTTTCAACCAGTGCAGATCTGATGGACCGAAGGGCCTTTTTTAATACTTTAGACCTCTATAACTCTGACTTTAGAATTCAATTAAGAGCCATCTGCAATGACATGGGCATTGTAGGCCCAGACAAGGTAAGAGAGCAGCAGATTTCCTTTCCTAAAAGACATTAGTGAATCAGTTGGGTCTCTACAACAAATCAATAGTTTCATTGTCACTTTCTAGTCTGTGGGAAAGCCTTTTGCTTAATGATAAAATTGCACTTCATCCTTTTTAACTTACAACAATAAAAGTTCAGCTTCTTTGGTCATGCTTATATTTAGTTGTTAATAACATATAAATTGAATTTCTTTTCAGGGAAGAAGTGCATGGGCCTAGTAGATCTGGATCGAGCCTGCTCAGCGGAGGAGTGTGGATACATGGCTTACGTATCATCAATGGTGCCAGACAGTTGTTCACCGAAAAATAATCTGATAGTGGGGAGTTTGTCAGGTCGTTGTCTCAATTTAAGTGCATAATGTCACAAACTCAGTGATCATAGCTCTAAGACAAGAGAGCCACTTTGTTACACTGTGACCTGCTTGTCAGAGGACAGCTTCTCTCAATTATCCTGCTCAGAAGCATGCTGAGGCTTTGTGTTAATCAATATCCTGCACAGCATCCCTAATTCTGTGCTTTCTTACGCCCAATGACTTCTGTTTAATTGAATGAGGTCCTCACACTTATCTTGAATGACATATAGGGAAAGTTAACTTCCCAGCAAATACTGCAAACCTCCTGCAGTTGTGTAGTTTAACCAGTTTTAGCAAATGGTATCTATGCATGTTCTTCACATACTTGTAAATCCTACTTTGTTTAATTATGTTCTACAAAAGATGAAAGTCGCTGAAATATCATGTATACTTGATCTGGACCAAGAAAGGAACTATTAAATATTTTTATCCTTTTACTTCATGTCACAAAGCAAATCCACTTGGATTGTAAAATTCACTCTGCTCAGCTGTGTTTCAAATGGAACCAGAAATTATGACCTCTTGTACCATGGGAAACTGCCTTGTACAAAGTTACTGCTTTTGCATTGTTGTGGTTTCTTCTTCAAGCTTCTATTTTCTTGATAAACTCCATCTTTGCCTGCAGATAATTCAATAATATTTTCTTTAACCTATCTCAAGATTTCATTTTCTACAGTCAACACAATATATTGCAAAAGCAGAAGTATCCAAATGACTCAAAAATATTACAGGTCTTACATTTGCAGATGAAGCAGGGAATTCATTCATTTAAAGCAAAAAAACTAATATCACAAACCTCTACTCTTCTGATGTTTTTCAACCATTCATCCCCAGTAATATCTGCAAGACCTCTCTTCATTTTGTTCTTTCCTCAGACACAGAAGTTGCAGGTGAGGTGTTCAAGACATACCTCCTATATTTAAGCAATAACTATGTTGCCCATATGGTTGTGAAGATGGGTTGTCTTGTGGCTCAAAACTGTACGTAAAGTTTAATCTTTTCTGTGTATTTCAGTAATCGTCTTGGTTTATTATGGGTTTTCCAGTAATCTGGGATAACTTTTTACCCCGTCTCTTGTATAGTTCTTTTCTTATGACAGTGTTAAGATTTTTTATGACAAAATCATTTTCATGGAAGCAATTATTTTAATTGATATATTTTTAGAACAAACAAGCAGATGTAACAATGTTGTTCAAAAGAAGTTAATGTATGATTCAGTGTTCAATTATATTCTTGTAATCAGGTGTTTCCAGAGTTATTTTGACATTAGAAATAATAGTAATATCACTAAAAGTTAACTGATCAAGCATGGTTCATAATCTTAATGTTTTATATGTCCATGCAATTTATTCTCAGTTAGGAAAAAAACACACATCAATCACCAGCATTTTTGGTTTTACCTTTATTTGTTGAATAATTCCCATCTAAAAGGTTTAAATAACCAAGTAAACATTTTATTTCAAGTCATTTGGAAAATGATAGACATGTGAAGGAGAAAAATGCATTTTGCTGGTACCATCAACTTGATGGTGATCAAATCAAGATTTAATATTGATATTTAAAATGAGCAACTCACTTCAGTATGTTACATGTTACAGAAGAACACAAATTCCAAATCTGTGTTTCATATCAGCTGAACCATTGAGTTATGACTGGTGTTAGATTTTCATATAGTTTCCAAAGTTGCTCAAAATTGTTTGAGGATCCTAAAAATATCAGACAGTGACTACTGTCTCTTAATCTCATTTTCAAAATCATAGTTATATCAGTTACAAAGCGATACTGTGCTCTGCATCACATCAGTGACTACACTTCAAAGGTACATCATTGTCTGTAAAGCACTTTGGAATTTCCTATACTGTAAAAAACACAATATAAATACAAGTCTTTCTTCCTTTCCTATTCAAAATGATGTTGCCTCCTCAAACAAGCAACAAATGACATCTTTATCGTCATTGGTGTTATAAAGCCAATAACTTACTAGAATTGAGACTTGGGTTGCTATAGAAACAGATTTTAGAATGGCAAACCAACCATTAGCATGTTTTTCTTAGCTTTTCAGCGTTAATCTCATTCTTGAGAAACTTACACAGCATGTTGTTATAGAATCATAGAATCCCTACAGTGTGGAAGCAGGCCATTCAGCCCATCGAGTCCACACCATCCTCCAAAGAGCATCCTATCCAGACCCACCCCTCTACCCTATCCCTGTAACCCTGTACTTCCCATGGCTAATCCACCAAGTTTGCACATTCCTGGACACTTTAGGCAATTTAGCATGGCCAATCTACCTAATCTGTACGTCTTTGGACTTTGGGAGGAAACCAGAGCACCCGGAGGGAACACTCAGAGAAGGGAAGAATGTGCAAACTCCACACAGACAGTCATTCTGTGAGGCAGCAGTGCCAACCACTGAGCCACCGTGCCTCTCAGTTATGTTCCATTATCTTGCGGAACTTACAACTTGAAAGGGTGGTGAAAATTAATTCAGCAGTAACTTTCAAAAGAGAACTGGATAAATACTTGAACAAGAAATATTTGGAGAGCAAAGGACAAAGTACAAGGGAGTGGGACTAATTGATACAGGCACAATGGACCAAAAAGCCACCTTCTGTATTGTAAGATTCTATGAAGCCTAATTCCTCTTGAGGAGAGTTGATTACGAAGTTCCTTCCATCTGCAAAGTTAAATTTATTTTCAAAGACAGGAACACAAAGAAACTGGATAAATTTTTCAACCATTCTTTTAAAGCTCATGATCTACTTGGCAGGTGTAGTAATTCCTCGTGTTAAACCAGTTGTTAAATCTGCATGTAAAACTACTTGTCTCCTGTCTAGGTGGGCACTCCCTGCATTAATGTACATAATATCATGGAGCAGCAGGAACTGAAAATAATGTAACTCAACCAAAGCCTAATTGTTCACGCATTATGACTTTGTTCTCCTGAAGCAATGCTTGTAGCAGTCAACATGGACTTGTGACTCAAGTGTATTTACGCTCATAATAAGCAAAGAATAGCACAAGTCAAGCCAGTTATTACAAGGTCAGTTCATTCCCAGGAGTACATCTTTTCCAGTTGTGTTCAAAGCAAAAATGTCTGCATCCAATATCTCTGAACGCCCAAATGATGAAAGTCTCAGTCTAATTTCTGAGAATGTGATTATCATACTTTGAAACAGCTGAAAAATCATTTGAATCATGCTTTCTTTTGTCTTTTAAATGCAAAGGTGTGTATGCATCAAAACCTTCAAGTTAATTAGCTTTCCTTATCTAATGTGCTTGAATATCTGTGCCAACTATTAATTTATTTTTTGATAATCAAGATGTGCTTTACTTGTTGCTCCAGATTTCGTTCAGATCATTCATTAAACATTTACTGATTTAAACTGAACTGTATTTGTACTTTGGAGCCATCTCGTATTTCAGAGTTTTGATTAGTAATTATTACTAAAACTTTGGCAAGCCGTCTCACTAATAGGGGACTGCCCTGCACTGAAAGATCTAGGTACAGCTCAACTATAATATAGATCAGTGAAAGCCTTCAAGTCCAAATGACTCTAGTTTATGTGGTAGCACATATTTCCAAGCTTCATTCATTGTCTTCGATCTTTTCAAGATCCGATCACTATATAACCTGAAGTGGTTTAGAATAAGCCAGGTTGATATAGTTTGAGTGTTTCAAGGCAACAAGCAAAATAGAGTTCAGATGATGTCAGAAACTGCTAGATTGTGGTTGCAACTTACTTGCAATGCATTGTTAATTTTTTTTTGTTTTATGAAATTTAAAATGCTGGTGTATAAGATAAAAGCAAGACCAATTCCTGTGTTCAGTATGAGACAATGTTCTACTACAGCACGGCTCAAGTGGCACTGCTGGGAACTTTAATTTGACTGCTAAAGGAAGATCATGCCTTGTTGCAGCATTCGTGGCTGATCCCTAACTGCATCAAAGAAAAATGATCAGGACCTAATGCAATCCTCACGTGAAGAGAGGTCTAGAAAATGGAGGGGCTAACTGGACCAGGTCATTACGTAGGTTGTACAAGTGCAATTAAGTCCTAATTTTAAAATCATTCATTCTGCCTTTATGTTTATATCCCTGTTAGAAATTCCAACAGTCACATTTGTTGCCTGTGTAAACTAGTCGGTCTGCAGTTTCACTCTATCAGTCCTGCTGTTAAAAAGAGGGTAGAACTTTGGGCACGTGAGTTTGTAATGGAAAAGGTTGACACGATGTGGTTAACAATGCAAGTTGAACTATGGCCTTGGTGCTTGCCCAGCACTATTCATGCAGCATGTTACTCTGAAATGTACTCTGAAATCTATTGTATTAACAAGTTGGCCAGCCATTTTACACACCAGATCCCCAAAAAATGTTATAAATGACCGATTGATCTTTTGGTCATAACTGGGGAGGAACATTGGCCAAATGTGCGTAAAGTCTATTTTTCTCAAATCGTGTCTGTCATACCCTTTAATTCCCTTGACAGTCAAGAGCTAACTACCTCTGCCTTAAAAATATACAGCGACCCTGCCCCCATTTACCCAAACTCCAACATTTTGAGACAGAAGGTTTCTCCTCATATCTAAAATGAGAAATGTCTTATTTTTAAACTTTGGCCCCAGTCTTTGTTTCTCCAACAAGATTAAAACATCCTTTCAACATCCATCCTGTCAAGTCCCTGCTTCAATTGTACTACCTCTTATTCTTCTAAACTCCAATGGTTACTGGACCATTCTGCCCAAATTTTCCACAAAAGATAACTTCCTCAGGCCTGGAATCAGTTGTCTAAATATTCTCTAAATGCTTCTACTTCAGTTGGGTTCTTTCTTAAGGAAGGAGACCAAATCTGTACAACCAAACTCTACTGACACTCCAACTTAGTGCCCTGTACAAGAGTAGTAGGACATTCCTAATTTTACATACCATTCCCCTTGCAATAAACAACAACATTGCATGTATCTTCCTCATCACTTTCTGTACCTCCGTACTAACATTTTGTGATTCATGTACAGAATACCTGGATCTCTCTGTACATCAGATTCTTGCAATCTTTCTATTGAAATAATATACATCTGTCTTAACAGAATACCACAAGACTGATCTTGTTATGCCATTTACTTCAATTCCTCTGTCACCCTTAGGAATAGTCTTGCACAGCACCACAGCTATGTAACCACAACCTTTCACAAAATATTAATTGATCTCTCTTGACATGGCATATAGGTGGCCAAAACCTACGTAGTTTTTGTAGTTTTTAGGTGAAGCAGGATTATTGAGTCTGGTGAGTTTGTTCCATTTCAAAATCTTATATTTTACATTTATTTCCATATTTCCATCATGAATTGCTATGTCCATATAATGGAATTGTTTATGTAAACATGGCAAGACAGTGATGGTACTTCATTGTCTCTACTAGCAAAAGTTTGTTATTACAATGTGAACAGGTCACTGAGCCAGTTGCATTCTCAATGTAGACGTGGAAATTTACAGAGTCTTAAAACACAAAAGGGCTCACCGTGTTTATGTCAGTTCTTTAAAAAAGCTATTTAGATGGTTCCACTAACCTGATCTTTTCCCTTAGCCCTGAATACATGTAAATTTGATGGCAAGCGCAAAAAAAAATTGTTTTATTATAGATGTATTGTGTTCATCAGGCCAAATGAATACCTGGTAATGAGCTAAATCTTGTCATTCAATGCTGAGGATCAGATGACAGTCATAAACTGTTCATGTCTCACCATCTGAGCTGTTGATTGAATTATAATCTTAACAACGGTCTCAGGTATCTATTATTCTACATATATTCTAGACATTTGGTATTTCGACAAAAATTCCTAAGCAGAAACATTAGAACTAATATGAGATCATTTAGAAACAGCTTTTACTTTAAGTAGCTTTGTTGTCTGCCACTGCAAACATCGTGTGGACTCTACAATTGGTACTTGTAAGGTTTACAGTCTTATCACAGCATGCTCCCCGGTATAGTTTACAATCACAGCATGCTGATTGATTTTTGAAATTTAGATGTTGGCCTGAAGGTCATGGGTTCAATTCACATTTCAGTGCCTTTAGCACAAAATTGAGGTTAATACCCCAGTGCAGTACTGAGGAATTAGTACGCTACTAGAGATGCTGCCATAAGGATATAAAGTTAAGCAAATGTCCCACCTAACATTACAGGTAGAAAGGAAAGAATCCCATGGCATTATTTCAAAAATGTGCATGATCTCCTTGTCCAATAATTAACCCTTATTCAAAATAACAAAAAAAGAGATTGTCTGGTTCTGGTGCTATCTGCAGGAGCTTGCTGTGCAAAACATTTTCTGCCATGTTTCCTACTTTCCAAGAGTGACTGCTCCAATAAGTAAACTGTTGGCAGTAAAATACTTTGGTGGTCCTGAGACCAACTCTCTATGAATGCCAGTTCTTCTCACTTTATTTAAAAAGGTCCGGCATTTTACATTTTCTTAGCAAATTCTGTAAAGATTGTTCCAAAACATGATGAGAATCCTATAGAACAGGAATGGTCAGCTATTAGGAACTTTGGATTGTACAGAACTGGAGAACAAAAGTAATTATTCTGGCCAGTCCCGCTCTCTAGGAAGTATCATCTCCTCATATTGCCTTTCGTACATATTTTTATTTTGCCAGGTACTTAGTAAACTCTTGCCCTCAATCAACATACAAACATAAAAGCTGAAAGGGTGGAAAAAAAACAAAATTCTGCCTGTCAAGGATTTATTGGTGTTCGAGTGTATTTCCAATATAGTTGAAATTGTGGAAGAATGATGTACAAGTCTGTCTTCACTGTACTGGACCTACTAAGGTTGGATCCTTTATATTAAATTATATGACATTAAATAAGGACTGTGTTCCTGATGGTGATGACAAATGCTTTGAATGTTAATTTAGTGCTGGATATATAGATGTTATTGCAAATGTAGATGTCGTGTAGAGTAGTGACTCCAAAAGATTCCCAGCTATTATTTTGTTTTAATTAGGTAATAGAAATTCCTTGGCTTTTGGCCACAGAAACTCAAGATAAGTTGACTGCCCCTCATTATTGAGCTAATTATCCCTGAGCCCATTGCAACACACAATAAAACATTGATGGCTGTGGCTTAAGCTGACTAGACTCTGTTCTGAAACTCCCCCCACCTTGGTTGCTTGAGGGTCACTGATGTCCTTCAAGGAAGGAAATTGCCATCCTTACCTGGTCTGGCCTACATGTGACTCCAGACCTCATAACTGGGTGACTCATAACTGTCCTCTGGGCAGTTAGGGACGTGCAATGAATGCTGGCCTAGCCAGCAACGCTCACATCCTGTGAATGAACAAAGAAAAAAAAAATTGGTGGTGACTCAGGGATGAAACGGAGGTCATGTGGCTTTGCCATGTTCGTTGAAAGATATCCAGTAAAACCTGGTTGATGGACCGGTATCAGGAACTGGGAGGCCATTGAAAGCCTCACTCCCAACCCCTGCAGTCTCCAATTCCACCCGGTTGTCATTCACCTTGGGTCTGAATTTCCACGATGATTCTGGGCCTGCGGCGGGTGCATTGCAGCCATCATTCCAGCAGGCACTGGTGGCAATGGACAGCTGCTGACCCAGCACTTGGTTGGGATCCTCATTGCCGGAAAGAGCATTTCATTCTGTCAGGGGGATCTGACACCTGGATAACTGGATGACCCACCCCATCTCCCTAGCCTAACAGAATCTCGGTCTTGGAGATATCAGGGGATTATTTCCGGTGGATACAGTCTAAATTACTTGTCATAAATATTATTTCCTGCTCATGTTTTCTATCAACCTGGTCCTGAAAGTCCAGTCAAATGGAGACCTTTGCATACTTTATAAAATCTTTCACTTTTGTGATGGTTCTGGGAACAGTGGGGTTCAATTTCCAGCATGTTACCCCAGTAAGTCAATTTTTACTATTCCATACAAACATTATTATTAGATATTGGGTCATGAGTATTCTTTGAAGATTTTGTTTTAATTTACAAAGAGTAGTTTTGTAACAGGCTGCACTTCACTGTGTGACTTCACAATTAAACATTGATGGCTGTGGCTTAAGCTGACTAGACTCTGTTCTGAAACTTACCCCCTTGTTTGCTTGAGGATCACTGACTCTAGAGTTGATAAGCTAAAATCTGAGTTTCGAACACGAGACACATCAGGGAGTGGGAGAGTGAGCTGGACGCTGTTTTTTCAGGAGGCAGTCACACCCCTTAGATTGACTACTTCAAATTTGGTCAGTGGTCAGGGGCAGGAGGGTGTGACTATGAGTGAGGCCGGTAGAAGGATGGAGAAGGTAATGCTGAAGGAGCTTGTCTGACAGGTTTGAGATTATTGCTTCCTGTGTGGATGAGAGTGGGGACTGTC